TTTTATAATTTTATTTATACAATAATACGGGACAAATCGGAACAAACCACGACCCGTGACCTGCATGGGCTCAACCTGGATGGGTAAGCGGGCGAGCCTGTGTGTAGTCCAAAATTTGTGGGCTGACCCGGAACCGGTAGTGAGCAGGCAGATTTTTTTTCACGTGGGCCATTACCGGACTCATATGTTGGCGGTTGACCCGACCTGGACCACTCGGATTGACACCTCTACCCTCGTGAATCATTCTCCAAAAAATCCCAAAAACCTTTGCCACAAATTGATCTTCTACAGATCATCCACAACTTATCCATAGCATTATCGCACAAATCCAACAACCGATTTTCATTTTGCGTTAACTAGGGCTTTATTGCAAGTATAAAACCCTAATCGGGGACGTAGGTACCATCTTCTCCTCTCAGAAATGGCTACTTTATTTGCTATAATACGCATTGCATTACAAGTTCTACAAGTTTCAGACCAGTTATGGCAACACCTAGAAGCAGTTAAAATTTGTTTTCAGAAAAGAAAAGATAAATGTCGAAACCACTACCCATGCCGCAGATACAATTCGTTCTTCATTAGGCTCCATTTAACGTGGGTTTTGCTACTGCTTATGCATGGTTTACTTTTGCCTTTTTCAAAAGAATCATCAGAATGCATGGCTGCTCAAATTTGTTTTCATTGGTGTTGTGAACTGATACAGAGCTGTGTCAAATGCATATTATAGGGGAGCTGTTGGGGCTATGTTTGTTTATGAAATAACTAAACGCTAAACCTTTGACCACATACCCCGTTGGCTAGAAGAGTTGCGCACACATGCAGAGAAGAACATTGCTATGATTCTCATTCGGAACAAAAGTGATGTTGAAGACCAGCACGCAGTGCTTACTGAGGAGTATGCCAAGGAATTTGCTCAGGCGGAAGGATTTTTCTTCTTAGACACTTCAGCACTGGAAGCAAAAAATGTTGAGAATGCGTTCTTGACTGTGTTGACCAAGACTTTCAACATCGTGAATAAGAAAAATCTTGTCTCCGGTCTTTATTTGGCTAGAAGATTATTATTCTCAGTCCTGCACAAGTAATCCCAGAAAAGAACAAGATGTGCTGTAGATCGTGATTTATTTACCTAGGATTGAAAATCTTTATCTATTATTCTATGCTTAATGTTGTGATTCTTTAATTATCTGCTGTATTTTGGTTGTAGTGAAGAAATGGTTGTGATTTCGATGGGGGAGAAAACAACATAGCACAGAGTGGCAGATTTGTTTTTGTGATTGTCTATTCGTTTCTTTATTTTTCATTTGACAGTACCTTCTTGGATGGTCTTCTGGTCTCCCCTGTAATATGAATGCCATTTGCAGTCTGCAACATCTCATTTCAGAACATACTCCTTAATGTTTTATACCTTATATTGGAAGTGATTTCGGATAGCGTACAATGCAACACTCGTCTTCAATACATTTTTGTCCAGAAATAGTTGCTTTTTACGAATTCTTTCCACGTCTGGTTGTGCCACTATACCGTTAAGCTAGTCATTGCACTTATCGTGTTCCTCAATTGGTGATATCTCAATGCTTGAAATAAAATCATTTAATTTTGGGATATTCGTTGACATATCGGGAGGTGGAAGTCATGAATCATTGATGTGGATGCATAACCATTCCTAAAG